GGGCTCAGGAAATTCAGTCGGCCAAAGCAGACAAAGCTTTGTCGATTGATTCAGATGGAAACCTTAAGGTCACTTCCAAGCTTGACAAGTTCGAACATTGTGACACGGGTTCCGAGTGGACCCTTCGCCAGGCTTGGGCGAGAAGGAGCCTCGCCTTTGATCTTGCGGGCCTCGCGACATATCAGTCCATGGAGGCTTGGGTGCATAAGCTTTTTGTGACACTTGAGCGGCCTTCCCCTCCTGGCTACCACGGAGTGGCGTTGACTCAAATCGTGGCAGCCGATCGTCACTTGTTCACCCTGGCCGCCTCCAATCTGCTAGGAGCCCTTGCTGCCGCCCCGGTCCGCGTCAAACCGCTTGATGAACAGCTTAAGCTCCTCAGCGATCACAGTGATGTGTTGCAGTTTCTGAATCACCTGCCTGCCCAGAGCTTGCCGTCCAATCCTCTCAAGCGCTCCGAGAAAGGTGACACCCCCAAAGGCCGAGGCAAAGGCAAAGGCAAGAAAGGCAAGGATCGTGGAACTGCTGCTTCCATTACCGTGCCTGAGGGAGCAGTCACTAAGGTGAATGACAAACCTGTGTGTTTCGCCTTTAACTGCGGCTCCTGCAAGTTCAAGGTGTCCAAGAAAGGCAGGTGCGGGCGAGGCTTTCACCTGTGTTGGTGGAAAGGCTGTGGTGGTGCCCACCCGGGGCACGAGTGCACAAAGGCTCGCCCGAATCAGTGAAAGCCCGCAGGGACCGCGGCGCACCCTGTGGATTCCCAGTCGTCGCAGTGCCAGGCAAATGTGCTTGCAGAGCCAAGGGGCCCTCCTTTGCACCCTGCCGAAATCTTTGCAACATCCCTTTTGGAACTTCCTTCGGCCAGTCGTGTAGATTTGCTGAAGCTTTTTGACTTGCTCCCTCACGAGGATGCGCCTACTGCTGGGCGTGCAGAAGCTGGAGGTTTTTCCTTCGGCACCGGCACCTGGGTGCATGGAAACCTTGTGGGATTGCGAAACAACTGCCGCCTTTTCCCTTTAAGCACTAAAGTTTTTACTCGTTTTGTGTTGCAGGAGTGCCCCAGCCACTCCTTTCTGCCATAGTCATCCTTGACAACGTTTGCACTGTCGCGCACCGCGACACTCATAACCTAGAGTCGGCTCGCAATGCTGTTTTCGGGCTGTCTGATTACTCAGGCGGCGAAGTCTGGGTCCAGAATGCTCAGGGCCTCACGCCCCTGGAGGTGAATGGCAAGAGGCTTCTGGGAGTTGCTTTGCCAACGATCCCGGGCCCTGCTGTCTTCTCAGCCAGATCGGCCCTACATGCGACCTTACCATGGTCTGGCCGCCGTGTAGTCTTAGTTGCGTACACAACAAATTTCGTCGACAAATTGTCGACCGCTGATGCTGACTTCGCTTCCAGCTTGGGCTTTGCCGCGTGTCAGCATTCTATCCACAAGCTGAGCCGCCAGCCTTTTGCGGTGGAGGTCTTCAGCGGCACCGCTGTTTTGTCTCGGGCCCTCTTCGCCGCTGGCTTTGCAACTCTGGCCGTCGATCACCGGCCTCGCGCCGCTCTTATGCCAACAGTGCGCTTGGATCTCGCTCAAGAGGCCCAGCAAGATCTGCTTATGGATCGTCTTCGGGCAACCCCTCCTGATGCAGTGCATATAGCCCCGCCTTGCGGTACCGCCAGCCGAGCCCGTGAGCGCCCCCTGCCATCAGCGCTGCTGAAACAGGGCGTTCGAGAGCCCAAGCCCTTGCGATCTGCTCGGTATCCCTTGGGTTTGCCAAGCCTTGACAAAGCCTCATCTCAATACCACCGCGTGCGGCAGGCAAACCTGCTCTACCTCTTCACTTTCAACTTGGTCTGCTGGGCGCTTGAGAATGCTGTGCCTTTCACGCTTGAGAATCCCGCCAACAGCCACTTTTGGGCCGTTTTTGCTTCGCTGGCTCGTGCCCGCCCTAAAGCAGCCTGGCATCGCTTCAGCCACAGAACCTTTCAGGTGGAGTTTGATCATTGCATGTATGGCGGGGCTCGGCCAAAAACTACACGGTTGCTCACCAATTGCAAGCAGATGGCCGACTTGTGTGCCCGTTGCGATCGCTCTCATGATCACGCCCCTTGGGGGGCTCAGCGCGGGCCCCATGGCTGGGTTTTCGCCACTCACCTCGAGGCTTCCTATCCCGTCCAGCTTGCTGAAGCCTTGGCTGCACGCTTCAGCGCCCAAGCTCAGGCCTCTGGCCTCTCCTTTTGCCCGCGGCCGCTGGACGTGCAACATGCTGCTTACGCCGCCCAGGGCGTGCAGCATCGCAAGAGTCAGCCTCTCATCTCCGAGTTTGCCGCCATAAAGCCTGTGCCCAAGTCGGCCGTCGACGAATCTTGCATGAAGGTTCTCACGGCCCCAATGATTGGGGTGAAGACGGGGGGCCTGCCGAAACCCTCTGACCATGAGCCTTCGTCCATTGTCGAGCACCCTGGGCCCCCAGAGGGAAACCCTGTCCCCTCGCCTGCCTCTTCGGGTTTAGTCCCCAACCCCTTGTGTGAAACCCCGCGGCACGCAGGACCCGAGCCTGGTGCGGGGCAGGGGATGGTTACCGTTGGGGTTTATCGTAGTCCCGAGGTGTGGGTAAAGGAGGCCCTTAAGCTGCCGCATCCGATGGACTCGAATAACCCTCTGGCCGAAGCCACCATGATGGCCATCAAGGAAAATCTTACTTCGGAGGCTAAGGTGCTTAAGCTTAAGCAAAAGATTGCCCTGACTAAGATGGAGATCCGGGCCAAGCAACTTGAGTCGCAGGAGAGAGCACTGCATCAGTCAAAGCCACCTTGGATGCAAAAAGTCCTCAAAGGAAAGCGCATTCTGTTGCTGCGCGACCTGTTGTCGCAGCACGGTTTTGATGACATGGGGGTCGTGGACCTCGTTAGCGACGGGTCACATCTAGTGGGGTCCGCTCCGAAGCCCGAATGCTTTGAAACGCGCGTTAGGCTGGCAAAGCTCTCTCCCGAGGCCTTAAGAGCTGCAGCCCAGGACTTGAGGAAAGCCATCCTTGCAAATCCCAGGAAAGTCTCTGCGGACGAGGCGGCTGAACTTCGGAAGGTCTCAGATGAAGAGACGGCTGAAGGTTTCCTCTCGGGACCGTTCGAGTCCGAGGATGCAGTGTCAGACCACCTCGGAACCCAAGATTGGGTGGCTGTGAGGAGATTTCTCCTTCAGCAGTCCGATAAGAAGCGTCCCATTGATGACGGCCACGAGGCCCACCTCAACGATGCTTATGGTCGGCCATCCGCTTGAGGCTCCAGGATAGTGCGTACTTTACGGCCATGGCACTGGCTGTTGCAAAGATGCAAAAGGACCTGGGTGTGCATGTTCCATGGAAGGTCAAATGCCTAGACTTGTCGAAGGCTTACAAACAATTTTGTGTAAGCGAGCGGGATAGGTGCCTTTCGGTTATAGTCATTTTCGACGAAAAAGGAAAGCCAACCTGGTATGTGGCGAACGCCTTAATGTTTGGTGCCGCTGCCAGCGTTTTTAGCTTTAACCGTATAAGTCGGGCCATACATTTCTTGTTCACCAAAGTCTTGAACGTGGTGTGCTCGTACTTCTATGATGACTACCCGATGTTATCCCGCTCCGACATGGCAGAGGCAACTGATGAGGCGTGCGGCCGCATGCTGAGTCTGCTTGGCATCCGATATGCCGAGACGGGGACTGGATCCAAAGGTTTGCCCTTCGATGCATCATGCAGTGTTCTGGGACTCAAAATGTCAGTGGAACATCTTCACTTGGGGAAGCTCTCGATTTCAAACAAACCGGGAAGAATAGAGCGGCTCGTGGAGTTGTTTGGCAAGGTCAAAGCCGAGGGATCGATGACAAAGCATTTTGGCCAGGTGTTGCTTGGACTTTTGCGTTTTGCGGCAGGCTCATGTGTGGGCATGTCGCTAAATCACATTTGCGCTGACTTGAATAGGATAGTCCATGGTGAAGCTTTTCCCTCTCCCGAGGAGTTTGCAAAGCTTTGTGATCGGGCTTTGGATTTTCTTGGCAGTGCCCGTCCAAGGGAGGTGAAGGTGTCAGATCGAAAGGAGGTGGTTCACATCTTCACGGATGGGTCTCTTGAAGGCGACTTCGCTGGCATAGGGGCCGTGATGATTGATTCGGCCGACGGCTTCACGCGTGTGTTGCAAGGTGAGCTCCCGCCTGAGCTCAGGAACGCATGGCGAAACGAGGCCAGCGAACACTTGATCTGCCAGGTCGAGTTATATGCGATTTTCTGTGCAAAGCTTGTTTTCCGGGAACGGCTGGAGGGCAGGCGAGTCGTCTATTGGATAGACAATGAGCCTGCACGTCTAGCCCTTGTGAAGGGCGTGAGCAGATCTTGCATTATGGATCGCATGCTTCGCGAGCTGTGTAGGCTTGAAGACAACATGATCTCCTACGCGTGGTACGCTCGAGTACCGTCGAAGTCGAACATCGCCGACGGACCTTCAAGGGGCAAGGGCGATGATGTGGCCAGAGCGTTGGGCCTGGTCAGTGCAGAGACGTTCCCTGGATGCATTCCATGGCAGCACTTGTTATGGGGGCAATCGGGTGCTGACACATAGCGGATTCTCTTACCGCAAACCGCTTTGTGGAAACTCTACCACACGTGTTATGCACCGAAGTTGTCGGTGCGAAAACCCTTTTCGAACAGCCCCTTTCGAGTGCTCGGAAGAAAAGAGATCGCGACTTCAGTTGTGCGAATATATTCGGGAGCATTTTTGATAACTGGCTCCAATACTTATTATATTCTCGGGCATTCTTTATATTGAGCCCGGATACTGTTTCACGAATCTTTATGCAATATACGGTTCTGGAGTTTTGGGCTCAAGTGGGGAGGGGCTCCGCGTGCCTTGAGCTGGTTAACCTGTACTTTCCCGAGTGCAGGGCTGACACTTCCCACACGTGCCTTCGGGCCATGGCTCCTTCTTCTGGAGGCCTTGATTGTGGGTTCTACCTACACTTATGGCGATCTTTGAAGCGAATGAATTGTGCTTTGAGTGATGGTGCTTCTTTGTTGGGAAAAGAAGTGATTGGGAAAGAAAAGAGCTGTTTCGGCAGCTGGGGCAAAGCGTCTGGCAATGACCGAGATGCGCAACCGAGGGTGGCTCAGCGCCTGCAGATGCTGAGCGCTTTCATTGTTCGAGCACGTGATTTTCAGCCTCAGCTGTTCCAGAAGGATTTTGATTTCTTGGCTCAACGTGGTGTGCCGAGAACCATGGTGTGGAGTGCAGTTGGGCCTTGGGGGCTCCGACTAGGGGCTTCGGAGATGGAGTGCTCTGATGGCACGTGTGTGAGCGGCAACCCGCTTGCTGCTGCAACCTCTTGGTCCTCGGGGATGGATCACGGGATTGCTGGGGATGAATGCCCTGCTCAGGGGCTACCTTTGGCGAGTGAGCCTTGTGCGCATGCTTCTGACACGCAGGCAAGTGCAACTTTTGGGCTTCACATGATTGAGGACACTTTCTCTGAGGAGTTTCTTTACTACGTGCCGCAGGCAAGTGCAGCATTTGGGCTTCACTTGATTGAGGACACTTTCTCCGAGGAATTTCTTTACTACGCGCCGCAGCAGCAGCTTCTTCCCTCAGCGGCTGGTCTGGACCTTGGTGCTGGGCTGTGTGGGACGTCGTCTTGCGCTGCTGAGAGCCCTGTGTGTGACTTTCAAGAAATCAACAAGACCCGTGAAAGGGCAAAGAGCCTTAGAGGCCTAGCTAGTGATGATTGTGTGTGTCAAGAAATCAGCAAGACCCGCGAAAGGGCAAAGAGCCTGAGAGGCCTAACTAGTGCCGATTGTGATGGTGAGTGCGAGCCTGACCGTAGGACGAAGAGCCTTTATGGCCGTGTTCTTAGTTTTCTGTGGGAGCTCAGCACTATCAAGACCCGCGAAAGGGCTAAGAGTGAGACTGATATCGGGCCTCTGGCGCCTGCTACTAGTTCTAGTGGTAGACATGGCTCCCCGGAGCCCCCCTGTTCTCCCTCCTCGCAGTGCTGCTGCCATGGCCTGGGCTCGCTGGCGGCTGGCGACGGTGGCGGCCAGTTCTTCATCGCGCAGGGCAAGGACACTGGAGTGGTTGCCGATGACGCTTCTTGCCGGGGCTGCTGCCCATGCCGTGGTTCCTCTGCCCCCCTAGGGTTTAGGTCCTCCCCCATAGGGGTACCCGTGTCTTCTGTTGGGGGCGATGCGCTGCCCCATTGCTGCACTGACCAAGCTTCACTTTCTCCCCTTGGGTTTAGGCCTTTGGTTTCTTGGGTACCTGAAGTCCAGGCTGCTGCAACAGCTGATCGGGATGATCTTGTGATGCCTAACAGAGCGTGCCCCCGGAGCCCAGGCGGTGGGTGTAATCCGGGTTTGGAGTTTTTGCCAGGAGGAGGTGGGGTCGCTGACCCAGGGCTCCGGGGGCCTTCCCAATACAGGCCGCCGTCGGTGTGCAATACATCAGTGGGTCGAGGGGACTGTGGTCCCGTTGAGCAGTCTCAGGACGGTGCCAAGATCGATGCAGTTCCCCCTTGCATGTGTCAGGTGCCTGCGACGCGCCTGGCGGGACTGCTGCAAACTCAGAGTGATCTTGACGGTGTGCAACTGCAGGGGCCACTGGGTCAAGACAGGCCGAAAGGTCCGAGTATATCCCGCGTGGCCCCTGGTAGTTTGACGTCTTGCTGCCTGTGTTGCGAGTGCCATGCTGCCATGCTTGATCCGAGATGCCCGCCTGTCTGTGTGCAGTTGCAGGGGTCAGTGGGTCAAGGTAGGCCGAAAGGTCCGAGTATATCCCATTTGGCCCCGAGCAGCCTGCTTCCAACTTGTGTGTGCGAGGCATGCCCTGGCGAGATGCGCAATTGCGATTGTGAACTGCGGCCTGCTCATGGGCGGCCTCTTCCGAGGCAGGGTGGTGACGGGCAAGTGCAAGGGATCTCGGGCCAGGACCTGGACTCTGCTGCTATCTTGCGCTCCTGCTTGTCAGAGGGCTGCTCGGGTCCCCCTGGCCTAAGGTTTGGAGGCGGTAACCCGTTTGAGGGCATGATGGCCAGTATCACGGAACAGCTTATGCCCATGATCACTGCGCTCATTCAGAAAGCTGTGCAGGAAGCCATTGCAAATGCAATGGGAGGTGCCCCGGCAACCCCTCCCCGTGTTGTGCTGCAGGAGCCGGACCTGGAGCGAGGGCCCAAACGCCATAAGCCTGACCCTAACCCCAGTAACAAGCGAAAAAACCAGGAGTCGAGCCGCCATCCTTCTTCTCGTGCGCCGGGCGAGGGCAAAGCATCTGGTGGCAGAGGTGGTCAGCCTGCTGCTGCAAAGGGCTCGGCCAAGAGTGCTGCTAAAGGTAGTGCAGAGGCGTCCCCACCCAAGTCTGGACCTAAAGGCAAAGGGCAGGGCGATCGACCTCCTCGCGATGCTGAGGGCTGGACCAAGGTTCAGCGTGCTCCCCCGCAGGGCCCCTTCCAGCTCCGAAGGCAGGATTGGAGCGCGCAGTTGTTGTCGCAGGATGGCATTGCCAAAGCATTGGACGATCTTAAACCGGGTTCTACACTTGAAGCTGTCATTCTTGTCGAGCCCTCGGCGCTGCCGAGAATTCGCACCATGCTTGCTGGCACCAGCAAATCCCATAAAATCACCCTTGTAACCTTGGACGCGAGTGGTCCTCACAAGGTTCCGGGATGTGTGGGCGATCTCCTGCGTTTTCGGCGAGCCTCGATTGTGCATTGCAAATCCGACCCTGCTGATGGTGGTGTCCCTTGCTTTGCGGGACACAAGGCCAAGGCCATTAAAGTTGTTCCGGCGTCCACTTCGGTCGTCTACTTTAAGGTGCCCGAGATGTACATGACGCCTGATAAATTCAAGCATTGGAAGAACAACCCGAGTCGTGCTGCTTCTTCTTGGGCCAGTTCTCACCAAATCACTTTGAGTGACACGTGGGGTTGGGTCGAGGAGCAGCAGGCTGGCAAGCAAGGTTTGCAGCTGTTTGGCATTGCTCGCCTCCTGGATGCCGAGTTGTCTTCTCTCGTCGCTGTCAGTGGCCGGGATGGAGTCTTTGTTGATGTGCCGCGCGGCAAGCTTGTCTCCACTGTGCAGTGGCTCGCTGTTACCAAGGGGGAAGCTCCGGCTGCGTATCTTGAACGCGGCCTCCGCATGAGTGCTCCTTATGGTCTTGCCACCCAGGGCGGACGCCTTGGCGCCAGATCGCCTAGAGATCCCTCACAGGCTGTCCCGCGTGTTTGGAATTTCCCTCATGTGCCGGCTACCTGGGGACAGAAGGAAGTGCTGCAGGTGTTGGACCAGTCCTTCAAGGATGTGGCTTTGATTCAGCATAAGCGCACTGGCGCCGAGTACTTGTATCGCTTTAGAGCTACGCTCAAACACAGCGATCTTGATCTGGTCCCTTTGAGTGCTATCGTCGAGAGCGAGCCGGGGAAGGACAATGAAATCACGCTGTGGGCCACGGTTGCACCCTATAAGCCTAAGCAAGCTAAGCAGCGACCTCTGCGATGTGCGCCGACTCCCTGCCTTGCCAAGGAGAAGCCTGCACTGGAGCCCAAACCTGTTAAACTTGAGGTCCCTGCTGAGCTGGATGATGAAGGTAAGGAGGTGTCCCCTGCCAAACATGTTGCGGCTTCGCATCGGCAAATCCCCTCGGGGTGTGATCTCATTGAGACTCCGAAAGACGGAGCCTGTTTGTTTCACGCCATAGCGCGTGGCCTCCACTGGCTTTCGGGCCCTAAGAAGACGGAGTACTCCCACAGGGACTTGAGGGCGCGCTGTGTAGAGCACTTACGAAAATATGCTTCGCAATATATAGGGGAATGGGACGGCCACGGGCCGGCTCTACAAAAATTGCGCGAAAATGCCGCATCTCCGGAGGACGCCTTTGAGGAATACCTCAAGTTAATTGCTTCGGAATCTGCATACGCCTCTACCATCGAGCTGAAGGCTCTCGGACGTTTATTTGATTGCCACATCCTTGTGATCCCACGCGATGGGAATTTTAGTGCGATGTCGTTTCATGCGCAGCAGCGCAAAAGGAGGCTGGTGTTATGGTACACGCCTCGGCACATCGAGCTTCTTTTGCCAGCTAAGGATGCTAAAGACTACCCAGAGGAAGTTTTCTCCGTTACGAGTGGTGCTGTCGTTGACTTGAGGGCTGGAGGGGATGATGCTTCCCAGTGCTCTGGCACTGTTTGGACTGCTTGCGCCCGATCAAACCGATCCAAGGCCAGCCGATCATCCTCTGTGAAGGCGGGCACTGTGTGGACTGTCACCAACGCGTCGAGCAGAAAGACCGCTTCTTCTCTTAAGCGCGCTCGCGGTGCTGCTGCGACGGTCTGGTCCCGAGCCGTCTCCTCTGGTGCTTCCGTGCATTCTCAAATGCCTGCCTTGCCGGAGTGCGACGATGATGATGCCCCGCAACCTGAGCGGTTGCATCATGCCAGCCGGGCCCTGCCTCAATCTGCCCTTGTGATGGCCCGTCGTAATCGCGGCCGAGCCTTCCCTGATGGAGTTGCTAAATGCAGGCTTTGTCCCTTTCGCCGCAAGTGTGCTGATCCTGTGAAGGCCTATGCGGCCTATCAGCGGCACTTCTTGGATTCGCATCCGGGGGAGAAGCTTGGGCTCGCTCCTGCCCGCAAGGCTTCCTGTGTTCGTGACCTCGCTGATGGCGAGGGGGCGTACTGGAGATGCAAACGGTGCCAGGCAGGCATCTCTACTGCTGATGCGGCCCGTTTTGGCAAGGACTCTCTGTGCCGCTTTCGCCGGGAGCATAAAACACAGGCCCACCCGCGCGTCTCTTGGGCTGTGTGGAACAAGGAAGCGAAATCACACTCGGCCACCAAATGGGCCTCAAAGATCAGTGCCACTCGCAACAATGCCCAGAAGGCTAAGCTCCTGCCGGTGCTGCGCGAGCTTGAGGCTCAGGACTTTGATGCCTTCGGATGGCCGCGCCAGGCCGGGAAGGACACCAATACTGTTGATAAGTATCCCTTGCGCATATGCCCGGCTTGGGTGTGTCGCAAATGCCGAGCGCCGTGCCCCTCTGCAGAGATCGCTAGGAAGCATCGCTCGGTAAAGGGACAGTGCCCTTCTCGCACTGCTAAGGCGAGGGCGTGGATTCGGTTGCGCTCCCTTGCTGCCAATAAGAAGCTTCATGATGCTGCACCTGCCTCGGTTCGCAAAGAGCAGGGCGAGCTTGCCTTTGCTGCTGCTGAAAAGGCCTTGCGAGCCCCCATGTTGTCGGTGTGATTCGTCTTTCGTGCTTGAATGTTCACCGGCGTGGCACGTCGACGGTGGGGCTGCTTGATGCTCTGCTTCGGCAAGGCCCCCCACAGATTATGGCTTTATCCGAGGTCAATGTTCCTGCAACGGCTGGCATCGGCTATCGCAACCAGTGGAAAACGCACGGCCGGCATGTTGCTCTGAGCGCCCCCGAGGATCTCGGCAGCCGGGTTGCTTTGGTCAGCGATTTTCCTTTTCGGCATGTCCAGCTGTGTAAGGGTCCTGCTTCCACCAGGCACGTGGCGGGGCTCTTTAATTTGCGATCCCTCCCTGAGGATGATTCTTCGCTCCCTGCGAGCTCCAGGAGTGCCACTGATGAAACCATCCTGGTGGTGGCCTTTTATGGCCAGGCCGGCAACGAGCCAGTTGCCCAGACACAAGTGGATGAGGTTTTGGAGTGTGCGGTTGCCTCGGGTTATAGGTTTGTGGTTTTGGGCGACTACAACCTTGAGCCTTCCCAAGGCCGCTTAGGATCGCTAATTTCGCAAGGCACCGTGCTTGCTGGTGATGAATGTGCGCGTGGCCGGCCCCTTCCTGCCACGGGCCCGGTCAATGCCCAAGGCGTGCGCACTCGTCGCATTGATTTTGCCGTTAATCATCGTGACTTGCCTGCGGTTTCTGTAGATCACTTTACGTGCGATTTTTCGGACCACTTGGGGGTACACTACTTGTATGCCCTCGATGCTCCTTGTCCCTTGGTTGGGCCCAAGCGATGCAAGCCTCGTGATGATCTCCAGTCTTCTGACTTGGAGTCCAGATGTGCTCAAATTGATGCTGGACCCTTTGCAAGCGCCTTGGAACAGAATGATTTGGACGGGGCGTGGCGCTTCTTGTCGGACACCGCCGAGCTTCTGCTGTGTGAGCCGTGCTCTGCAGAGTGCGTTCCTCGCGCGTCTTCCTGGGAGCCTGTCGCCCATAGTGCGGCGGGACGGGCTGGCAAGCAGCTTGTGAAGTCGGAGGGCCTGCGCCTTTTGCTGCGACTCCGTGCGAGGCTTCAGGTTCTTTCCCACCGGACGAACGATGCTTTGCTGGTGGCGCGCATCAGGCGCTCACTCCGGTCCACGCGCTTGAAGGTGCCCAGCCTGCCTTATGCCCGTGATGGCGATGAGCTCTCCCTTCTTCCACATGTTGCACAGCTCATTGAGACTTTCACGCAGCAGGAGGAGGAGGCAAGAAAGCAGATGTGGCGCACCAGGACGCGTGCGGACCTGCCTCGTGCCCGGTCTTTTGTCAAGCGGCGCGCTGATGAGCAGCTCGCTTGGGAGCGTCAGCTTCCGGATGTTGCCAGTCCGGGCGACCCTGCACATCCGGCGGTCGCGGTTGCAGCTGTGGCAAAGGACCTGCGGGCGAAGCTCTGTCCCGCGTCCTTTAGGGCGGTTGACATGCAGGCCATGCGTGATCTGTTGCGGCCCCTGCCGCGCCCCGCAAGCACGGAGGTCGTGCCTAACATCACGCCAGAGGCTCTCCGACGCTCTATGCAGTCCATGAGGCACCGTGCTGCCGGGCCGGATGCGTGGAAACCTGGTCTGCTATGTTCCCTGCCTGATCTTTGGTGGGTGTGGACCTCCCAGCTGTGGAATCGGTGCCTTGCTTGTTGTGACGTCCCCGCCCAGTGGGCACAGGCACGTGTGGTGATGATTAAGAAAATCAAGGGGGGCTTCAGGCCGTTAACCATCTCTCAAGCTGTCTGGCGTGCGGGAGCAAGGATTTTGAATGCCCAACTCTCCGACTGGATAGGTTCTTGGAGCTCTCCGTCGGATGCCGGTGGCATCCCGGGCACGTCGGTGTCGGGTGCCCTGCTTCAGCTGAATGCTGCAATGCGCGGTGGCGCTAACGTTGCGGTTCAACAGGACATTGCGGGGTTCTTTGATGCCATCCAGTTTGAAGCCCTAGAGGTCCTCCTTTCTCATTTGAAAGCGCCGCCTTTTCTTTGGCCGCTGCTGAAGGCCTTTTACACGCGAGCTTCGCGCATCGTCCAACTTGATGGTGCATACAGTGATGCCTGGTTTAAGCCCCGCTTGGGTATAGCTCAGGGTTGTCCCTTAAGTCCCACCCTTGCTGCCGCATTTAGCCACCTTTGGACCTTGGCTGTGTTGAGGCAAGGGGTTTCAGGCCTGGTCTACCTGGACGACCGGTCCTTCTGGACTTTCTCTGCGGATCTTGGCGACCTGGAGCATGCGATTCGGCGCTCCGACCGATTCGATGCCACTTGTGGTCTTGAAATTTCCCTGCCAAAGTGTGCGATCGTGGCGCCGGAGGGTCATGTCGAGGCCTCTGCTCTGGCTGCCCGATTCAACTATCAGTTTTCGCAAACCCTTGAAGTCTTAGGTGTCACTGTTTCCTTTAATGATGAATGGGGCTTGCTGAAATTTTCCTTGAGAAAAGCTTTGCTGCGCATGGACCTTTTGCGCTGGGTGACCGCTTGCAGTCGACTGCGGGCCCTCATGCTGAAATCACTTGTTTACCCGTGCTTGGTGTGGGCCGCTGCCTATGCCACGCCACTGGCAGGCGAGATGAAGCAAGTTAGAGATGCTGCGATTCGTGTTTTTGACTGTCAATTTTCCTTTGAAGCCCCGCGTGTCCTGATCTTCGAACATGTGGGGTGGATGCTGGAGCCACAGTGCGCTGCTGACTCTGCTGTGCTCCGCGAGGCCTGGCGCCTCCTCTGCAAGCCTCCGGCCTTTGCTCTGGAGCAGCCGCGTGATGCCCGGGGCCAGCGCTGGGATCAGCTGTTGCCTGCTGCGCCTGGCCTCCTTCGCAAATTGGGGTGGAGCGTCGTTGAACGCCCTGATGGCTTCTTTTTCGCCTGCCGTGATGACTTAGGGATCTCTCGTGAGGTGCAGGTCGGATGGGAGAGCTTTGCTGAGGTTAAGGGCTGGCTGTTTGACCATTACCGGCACCTTTACATGCAGAGATGCCAGCGCGTCTGGCGGAGCTTTCATAGGCCGGACCCGAGCCTTGCACGCGGCCTGGATCTGGCACCTCCGTCGCGGGATGCGCGCTTCAGCTTTCGTGGGCACCGCGTTGCCATGCATGAGGCGACCACTCCTTATATGAGACGGGCTGCTGCTGTCACGGGAGGCTCGTGCTGGTTCTTTACGGCCGGGCAGGGCTTGAACGAGCAGCATAGGCGCATGCAGTGCCTCTGCGGAGCGACTGCTCCGTCGCGACCGCATGTGACCTGGGTTTGCGAGTGCACCGAGGCGCTCCGGCGGGATCACCCCCCTCCGACGAATCGGGCGGAGGAGCGCATGTTTGCCAAATCGACTCCCTTGAAACCTCCGGCGCCTGCCGCCTCTGACTGTGGGGCTTTTCGGGCGGACTTGGATGCTGCTTTCCGTGCTGCCCTCGGCTCTGGCAGGAGCAGGATTTATGCGGCTACTGATGGCTCCAGCCATCGATCTGTCGGTGCTTATGCGGTGGTGATCGGCGATCCGTCTTGTGTCTATGCCATGGGCACTGGGGCAGAGGATCAATCCCCGTATCGGCAGGAAGTTCTGGCCCTCCACGCGGCCTTTGCTTCGGTCCACCGGGTGTGGAGTGAGGGCTGCGAGACGTGCATTTTCATCTTGACCGACTGCAAAGCTGCCCTGACGGCCATCTCGGGCCATGGTGATGATCCCTTTAAGTTGGGCCTCTTGCTGAGGGACGCGCGCCGTCTCTGGAAGGAACTGGTGAGGCGCGGCTGTGCTATCTCCTTGATTTGGGTGCCGTCACACAATAAGCACCCCCGCTGGCGGCCTTCGCCGGATCACGATGCGGATATGCTCCGCGCCTTTAACCATGTTGCAGATCAGGCGGCGGGCAATTGCATGCAAAACAGGCTCTTGGGCTCTCTCCGGGAGCGATGGCATCAACAGTGTGAGCAGGCTCGGGATTGGGAGCTGGCTACCGTCAGACTTGCGGCAGCTGCTGCCGAGAAGCTGGACAAACATGTGAAAAGTGTTCCCCTTGATGATGCTGAGTCCGCAGGGGCTGGGTCTTGACTAGTTTGGCCGCACCAGAATGCTCTATGACTACTTACCTTTGGCTCCTCAATTCCTTGATTGCCCTTGGTATGTCTTTCGTGTGTGTGCAGCTTGTGCTTTCATGTGCCGGGCGGAACGAACTTTCACTCCCTGCCCTCCCCTTCGGGTTTGCTCGGGTTTAGGCCCCTTCTCTCCCCTAGAGGCTCCGGTGTGCACCTGGCGTAAACTTCTCTATGCATGAGCGCGGCCTCGCTTGTTGCGTGGTGCTGCTGCCATTGTGTGGAGCTCGCTTTCCCAGGCCTCCGTGGCTCCGCGATGCCCTTGCCTCCCCTTTGGGTTTCTTGGGTTTAGGCCCCTCTCCCCTCGGGGTACTCTTGTGCATCTTGCGTGAGCTCAGCCCCTTCTGCTGAGCGCGGCAATGCTTCCTTGTGTGGCGATGCTGCTGCCGGCGGGAGTCCCTGATTCTGGGATGTTTCTTGTAACAATCTTTTGCTGACCTTGCTGTGGCCCATCCGCTTCTACCGGGTGCGTGCTTCGAACCACTCCGAGCGCTGCTTGCCTGGCTCCTGCCTAGCACTGCTGCTGCTGGTGTGGGCTCGTTTCTTTAGGCTGGTCCTCTCCTTTTGGGTTTTTCGGGTTTAGGCCCTTCCCTCCCCTTAGGAGCCCTGTGTGCAAATGAGGTGCGCTTTGGCCTCTCGCCGAATGCTTATGCTCTACTAGGGCTGCTGGTGCCGGCCCGGGTGTTTTCGCATTTAGTACCTTTCGCGCGTGATGCCTCACGATTTCTTGACTTTCACGTGGCATCCTTTCTTGACGGCCCTTGTTCCCTTTCGGGTTGTTCGGGTTTAGGCCCTGTCCCCTTCCCTAGGGGTTCCTGTGTGGACTGGCTGTGCTCTGGGCGTAAACCGCGAGCGGCACTGCTCTGCCTCTTTGGTCTGGCGCTGCTGCTGCTGGTTTGGGCTGCTGGCCCACCCTTCCTCCTCTTCTTCGTCTACTACAAGGGCGGCTGCTGTGGGCTGCGGAAGCGAGGTCCTCTGAGCTCCACCGACGACGCCTTCTGAAGTGACGTGAGAGCCTCCCGTGTAGTTTTGAGTTCTTTTCGGATTTGTAGCCCTGCTGCTCCGAGCTTTTGGGCCTGACTCGTAGCTTTGCTGCTCAGGCCATGTCGTTTCGAGCTTCTTTCCGAACCGTTAGTTGCTGCTCGGAATGTTTCCGGATGTGATTGCGTAGCTAATCCGATACATCCAATTCGTTGCTTTTCACAAGAGGAGGTACATGTCAGACGGACTGCGGCTTCCTGACTTCCCTCCCATTCAACGTGTGGCGAAGGCTCTCAATGTTGCCTCGTCTTTTGTTAATAGTGTCGCTGATGATCATCGCTCGGGACTTGTGCTGCACAGCTTCGCACTCTCCTAGATGACTCAGCATGTTGCGGGATGTTTCACCCGACCCGCGAGGACCTCGGACAGCAGCTGAGCGGTCTTCTCGAAGTCGCTCAGCCCCCAGACCGCCGGAAATTCTGGAGTTTTGTGGAAGACACGTTTCCGCGGGCGGATAACTCTTTCCACCTAAACTCCAAGGTTGTTTTATTTGAGGGAAATCCTTCGCCCTCAAAATGGCGACAACCGCGAACCGTTTAATTGCATGATTTCAATCTTTTAAATTTGTGTGAAATCATGATTTTATCACACAAATGTTTTTATACCTGTCTGGTCTTTGCATGCAGTTCTTTTCACTCATGTCTCAGTTCCGAATGTTTAATGCACCGGCAGTTTGTAGCTCAAGTGGCTTTGGGAGCCACAGAGAAAATTTTTGTCCCACCCACCCACTCCTGGGGGGGCAATCGGGTGCTGACACATAGCGGATTCTCTTACCGCAAACCGCTTTGTGGAAACTCTACCACACGTGTTATGCACCGAAGTTGTCGGTGCGAAAACCCTTTTCGAACAGCCCCTTTCGAGTGCTCGGAAGAAAAGAGATCGCGACTTCAGTTGTGCGAATATATTCGGGAGCATTTTTGATAACTGGCTCCAATACTTATTATATTCTCGGGCATTCTTTATATTGAGCCCGGATACTGTTTCACGAATCTTTATGCAATATACGGTTCTGGAGTTTTGTGGAAGGGCTCATCCTGCTTCTATATCCACTGGAGATCAGTGTCAGTTTGCAATGTCGAGATATCTCGAGGATTTTTAAGCCAATCGAGATCTTTCACGTTTATTAGGATGCATCGCTGCGACACGATCATCGAAGCTCCTGTCTAGAATTGCCAAGATCTATAGCTCTTTGGAGTCAGCAATAGCCAATAGCTTGTAAGATCATCGAAGCTTGTTGAAGCCTTTTTCTAGCTCCAGCAAGTGGACTTGGAGCAGCTCTGTAGTAAAGAAAGAAGAAAGGCAGCCGCCGTGTTCGTTCAGGTCCGAGGCTTCTAGTGACACCTTTAATGCATCCGGGCCACAAACGTGTGGCTTTGAAGCCACAAAAGCCACATTAAGGCCACTTAACGTGTGGTTCTCAAGCCACATCAACGTGTGGTTTGGAGACCACACCATCTGAGCGGTCACAAGGTCCCGCTTTTTGCGGAGTTCCAACCGGATCCCACCGGACACTTCTTCAGTGAATGTATGCATGAATCAAAGCATGTTTTCGCGAAGCTCGCACCACTTCAGCAGTTGAGATTCGTTGCCGTATGCTTTCCGAGGTGGAGGACGAGATGGAGAATTCCAGAGAGTAGCTTGTGACAAACGTCGCTCGCAACTGTGCTTCATGGCAACACCTCCAGCGTCATCAGCCGGGCGCACACGAAGACAGACCCTTGCTATCAATCCAGAGCGACATGCACCCTGCTGGATCTGCTCACCTCAAAAGCCACAACCAGCGAATTGCAATTGTGCCCGTTTCTTTCATGTTGATTTTGATGTACTTCCATAACAAAGCAAGACTTGAAGCCTTAATCCTGAAGCTTGTTTTTTTTCCAAGCTGAACGCATGATGGTTGTGCGCTGTGAGTTCTCGCCCCTCCCTCTCCCCTTTATTGTTAAGAGGTCAAGGGTTGTGGCGCGCCGGCGAGCTGTGCAAGGGTTGTCGGGCCGTTGCTCACATGTGATGATGAATTCGGGGCCTGCGCGGTTGGTTCAAGCTCCGGCAGATGTTCGCGACACTTGCACTTGAAAAGCTTTTCTTGGCTTTTGTCGTGGAGACTCACATACATTATTGGTAGGCTCATCCTTTGCTGATGCTGTACATGACTGTACATAGCAGTATATTAGCCATATTGGAAAAAAACTAATATATGTACAGCGAAGCCGACAGAAGTTTGCACGTGAGACCTCAGTTACATAAGGACTTCAATTAGGTTCATCAGCCATGTGAAAGCATTCTTGTCTTGCTGTGCGTGCTCTCCAAAACGCAGATCCGGAAGAACTTGTTCACCTTTTGGGTACGAGTGGAAGTATAATACTGCGATTGGCTGGGATGATGAAGTGTGGAGTGCTGTCGACGGTGCAGTTCACCCCTTTCCCTTTGCATACACCTTTTGTAAATGCTCAAAGGGTGAATCTGTCCCCTCATAGGGGTTTCCGATGGTTTCCGGTCTGGTTTCCGATGGTTTCCTGTGGTTTCCTATGGGTTTCCCATGGGTTTCCTGCTGTTTCCTCTGGTTTCCGAGCTTTCCCATGAATTCTAGACAGATATGCTCTTCAACAGTGAGTCTGTTCCTCGTACGGGGTTTCTGATGGTTTCCGGTCTGGTTTCCGATGGTTTCCTGTGGTTTCCTATGGGTTTCCGACAGTTTCCTGCGGTTTCCTGTGATTGCCCAGCGTTTTCCACATGTTTGTTATGGCCTGCTATGGTTTCCCATGAATTCTAGATAGACATGCTCCTCAAAAGTGAATCTGTTCCCTCTTAAGGGTTTCTGAAGGTTTCCGGTCTGGTTTCCGATGGTTTCCTGTGGTTTCCTGTGGGTTTCCCACAGATTTTCCTGCGACGCCGGATCTTGGCAATGCTTTGCTGGCTCGTGTAGTCATGACTGCGTTCGGAGCAAGCCAAGACATAATCGAAGTTTCTGAAGCAGGCGGCGAGGTTGAGATTCTGTAGTGCTTCCAACAAGCCCACTTCTGGGTCCGGAAATTATCAGGATTGTGGTGGCTGTTGTGAAGGGGCCTCCAGAGTGCCGGGAGATCTTCTTTGGTTTGTTGATTTTCATAGCTCAGCTACACCATATCGGTGCTGTCGTTGCTTCAGAATCTGCAGCAGATCAAGATGCTCAAGCTGTAGTCGCTGTTGTGGCTGCTTAAAACAGAGGAGAAGTTGTGACTTTCACAACACCTGTTGGCGGCCGTTCTTTGAAGTTCTTTGTGAAGTTCTTTTTGAATTGAGAATTCAATAAAAGGGCAAAGTGCTGGTAAAGAGCGGGGCCAAAAACGGGTCCAGAATTCGGACCCGTTTTTGGAGCCATCTAATATTGGCACAATTCCCGCAGGTTCAGAAAACGGCCCCATTTTTGGGGCCGCATTTGTTCGCAGGGAACCACTTTCGAGCTCGTTGTCGGAATCGCAAAAATCTGGACGCGGATCAAGGAATACCGCCCAATGTTACCAGTTGGTCAGCAAGAAGCAGCTGGATAACTCCAAAATGTAGCACCCAGTCACTGCTTGTCTTGAACACATCTTCGGTTCAAAAAATCAAGTTGCGGCATGTGTTCTTGCCAAGTGCAGGATTCGCTGCAGGATGCTGCAGCAACTGTACTCGTGTGCCAAAATTTTCCAAGCAAGGCTATGTAAAATTCCTTAGAAAAGAGTTCCAGGCAATACTTTGTAACATTACAGGAGAGCATGTGCGGAGAATGCCATATACATTCACAGACACGCGGTTGGTGTGTGTGTGTGTGTTGTGTGTCTCAGAGCAAAAGAGAAAACCATCCTGTTCCACAGGAGGGAGGGAGATAGAATGGCCATGCATTCAGAAAGACATGGTGCGTGTGTGTGTGTGTGTGTGTGTCTCAGAGCAAAAGGGAAA